CACTGCACGGAGAGAACATGCAAACTCCACGCAGAAAGATCCCGGTGCCCCCACCGGGACGGAACTGGCAACCTTCTTGCTGCGAGGCAACAGTGCTACTGACATACTTTCACCTTTTATATCAGTATGTAAACAGTTGTTTATTTACACTTTCAGCAGTCACAGAGCAAAATAAACTCTGATCTGGAGTCATGTTCATGTTTGCCTGCTGAATGTAAGCACAGTTTAACTTATTCTCACTAAGTATCTCTGTTTGCTAAATGCTGCACAGTGTTCACAAACTGTCTCAATCTGTCCATCACTACAAAAGACACTTTTTACATTTTCACATTGTCATTTGATATCTTGTGATGAAAATACTGATTAAAGACACTTTAAGCATTGATTTCTCATGCAATACATTTATTAGATTTTTCTCACACATGATCACTGTATATTTATAATCAATTCCCCAAAAATATACACATTGCTGTACTGTTAATCTTGAAAAAAAGAATAGAGAACAAAAATCAATAGGTTGTCTCAAAAAAATCCGATGCCACAGTTTTTCTTGCTTTTGGCTTGTATAGACAACACATAATAAACATGGAGCAAAGTCTGTTACATTGACATGTACACATTTCTCATTCCCAGATATATAGATTTTTTTTATCGAGTACATATCTTAATGTAGAAATGTTTTGCATGCACCTATAATAAAACTGTAAAAATAAAAAAATAATGATGCCATATCAGAAAACATGTGTGTCACTTGGCCTGTATTGGTATGTCAACTTGAAAATAAGAGGAAAAAATGTAATAATAGAAGTTATCAAAAAATTACATGAGAAGTACATTGTATTTTCAACTTCTTTGTAGGTTATTGGGCAGCTGTGGTGGTAGAGTGGTTCTCCTCTGATCAGACGGTCGGTGGTTCGGTCCCCCGTCCCTCCACAGTGGACGTGTCCTTGGGCAAGACACTGAACCTGAAGTTGTTCCCAATGGCAGACAGCATGGCAGCTCTGTCGCCATTGGTGTATGAATCTACTCTCAGATATACATTGCTTTGGATAAAGTATCTGCCAAATGAAACTGTAAAATTGTAAATTATTGTCTGAAAACATCACATGCCAGATTTCCATGCTGTTGGCTTATTGACACAACACATAATCTACATGTGGAACAGAGTCTGTTACATCAACATACACATTTCTTATTCACTGACTTTGATCAAATATACATCATAGTTGAAAAATGTTTTGCATGTACTTAGTAGAAATACAACTGTAGAAATATTTTAAAAATAGTGACATATCAGAAAATGTCTGTCTCAAATGGACTGTGTATATTCATATCAAGTAAAAAAAAAATAGAATTTTGATGAATAAAACTGTAAATAAATTACATAGTAAATAACAATAAATCATAAATGAAACACCAACATATATTTTGTCTTTGGCTTGTTTAGACAATACTTATTCAACATGAGCAACAAAGCCTGGTACATCAACATCCACAGTTTTTATGTACTTTGTTTTTGTTTTCTCTCTTAGCAATAAAGCTGAAGAAATATTTAAAAGAAATAGTGACATATTAGAAAATGTCTATCTCACATGGCCTGTGCATATGTATATCAACTTGAAAAAAGGCAAAAAAATAAATAAAAGAAATCCATAAAAGTAAAGAAAATACATATTTACCAGTTTTTCAACCTTTTTGTCAGGTTTTGTCTGAAAACATCAGAAGCCACAGCTTTTCTCAATGTTGGCTTGTTTAGACAACACATTATAAACATGAGCAACAAAACAACACAGATTATGATATACAACTGAAGAAACACTTCAAAAATAGTGGCATTAGAAAATGTCTATCACAGATTCTGTGTATATATGTATATCACTGTGATAAAAGAAAAATAAAATTATAATCATTCAACAGAAAAAGATCATTTAGATCAAATATAAACATGAGAAATGAGAAACAAAGTCTGTTACATCAGCATACATATTTCCTATTGGCTGGATTGATTGACTGATTGCGTTTAATCAAATAAACTCAATATAAACATGTTTGACATGTAAATATTAATAATAAAATAAAAAAAAGTGATATCCTAAAATAGTGGCATAAAGGACAGTCTCTGTCTCACATGGCCAATAAGTAAACATGACCATCAACAGCATCAGCATCATTGTCTTCACCATTTGCTGTTATTTATGAAACAAAAAAGAAAAACATTCAAAAACAACAATCATCAAAAAAGAAAATAGAACAATATGAAGAAAAAAATTAAGTCTGAGATACAAAACATATCCCCAGATTTTTATCAACTTTCCAATTGTACAGTAAAAATCTTGTAAGTTTAAACGCTGTTTTGTCTGAAGATTTTTGTTCTGGTTCATTCACACCATGTTGAATGCTTCTTTTAAGCCTTNGGGCTACACTTAGAGACAGACAACCAAGCACACTCACATTCACACCTACGGACAATTTAGAATCACCAATTAACCTCAACATGTTTTTGGGAGAAAGCTGGAGAACCCGGAGAGAACCCACGCTGCACGGGGAGAGCATGTAAACTCCACAGAGAAAGATTCCGGTGCCCCCACCGGGACGCGAACCGGCAACCTTCTTGCTGCGAGGCAACAGTGCTACCAACTGCGCCACCTTGCAGCCCTGTTAAAGAGTCCCACATTTTTTTTTTAAAGTTTTCTAATAACAAATAAAATAAACTTTATTAAGATTACATTTGTTTGTTTGTGTATTAGTATGCTAAGTGTGAATGTACCTGCTCTTGTCCTTTGTGCTTCATGTAGGCATGGCATGACTTTTCCTCCAACTCTCCAGTGCTTCAAAAACCGAGAAAAAAAAAATTCTTATTTTCACAGAACGAAAACAATGTGGTGATTCTTTGTGTATCAGTTGTAACCAGTCAAATCCAATAAAGCATCCCAGTTTGTAACTGACTGGAGATAATTATGTGCAATTGCAACATAAAATTATTTGTCAACAGGAGCTAATTAAAATATATTTGGACAGAAACTCACAGAACAGTGAAATGTTTACTGCATGTAGAGCTTCAGTGAAACTTATCAGACACCAGGCAGCAGGAGAGTCTGTGGCTGGAGACGTCGGCTCTGGTGTTTATACTGACAGGATCAAAAGTGAAAGTATTTAATACAACAGGAAACAACAGGTTTTCTGTTTATAGTCTGAGTTTGTACAAGGACAACACAGGAAAGCGATAAAGCAAACAGCAATGATGTCTTGATCAGAAACCTGGTTGTGAAATGTCACAAACAAAAGTGGTTCATGAGAAAATGCTTTTTCCTCAAAACATCGCTGAGGGTAAAGTTTGTATATTAATGTAATTTTTTTTAAGCAGAACAAAAAAAAAAACAGGAAATCTTTGGTGCAACAGCAAAATAGAGCAAATACAGACAACAGCAATTTTGTTGTTTATTTCAAACAAGCTGAAATGAAAGCTTTCAAACACTGACTCCTGTCTGTGGCCACCAGTGGTAAGAATGAACGTTTGCTTCAATGATGAAACATTACTAACATGACACTATTGTAATTTATCTTTACACTTTATTACTGAGAAATGTATTGCAGTATTTACAGTAAAAAGATGAGCATTATGGTGCATTTGTCCAGTAATTTAGTTTATTCCTACAGTGTTTCTGCTCTAATCTTCATTTACTGGACATTTCTTTCTCATGACTTCTGAAGAATGCATTTGCTGTGTTATAAGTGACAACAGAGGTGCAATGTTTGTGCCAAACATTCTCACAGCTGGACTTAAGTTTCACTTCTTTCCTGGGGACTTACCTGAAACCCCGTCATACTTACACTGGGATAATATTAGTTTAATATTCCATCACATTTAATTCGTGACTTAACTCTGTGTTTCCCTTTGACATCTCAACCATAATAGGATGCAGAAAAGCAAGAAATTGATGCATGCATCTGTCAGTGTTCAAATAATATGAAAGCAGATGTTCACATTGTGGTTCTTTTCCAATAACCATACTATCATACTATACAGTACACCAGAAAAAGATTTAATATGTCCCCAACATAGAGTGTGTCAAATGCGATATGCTGAAGATACCAGGATGTCCGACTACATCTTGTGTGATTTGCAGTAATCAATGCAGACAGCAGATTTCACACTGTAGACTGTGAATAATCTGTGAGCATGATGGTCAAACCGTAAGCGATATTATGACCGAGTAGTGTGTCCCAGTTGTATCCCACTGCATGCAACAGTACATGCTTTGTAAGGGCAGCTGCAACTGAAAGGCAAAAACAACTATGTGATTTAGAATCAGGGGACGTTTGACATGAACGCTGTTTTGCTGTGGAACCACTGGATGGCAGCATCTTACAGAACATTCAGTCTGTACATGCAACGTTTGTTCCCCTGCATTCAAACAAACCCAACTCCATGTTCAGCTTTTGTTGTTTAGAGCTTGTGGTGTTGTTGAATTGTATTGTTGATCCAGAGTGGTGTTTCCTCTGTACTGATATTTGGATAAGTAAAGATGTTTTGTAATTCATTTTAATAAAAACTTGAGATTATGATCGTGTAGAATTTATTTCAGGTCCGTTGAAACTGCAGTGAGTTTTTAGTTTGGATGGACTTGAGTGTAAATCATCGATGACAGCAGTGAAGTTGTTTTCCTCAACTGTAAGAGTGAACAAGTTAACATCAGGTGTAGTTACATTAGAACTTAGATCGTTGAAGAGGATGTTTGGATGGAAACATGCTCCCTCAGTACTGTGTGACTCAGTCGAGTTCTAACAATGGATACTTGTGTTAATAGACGCTGTTAGCTCATAATGCAGTGCACAGTGGAAATAAAAGAAGTGACAGCTGTAAAAGAGTGACAACACTGTTGACAGTATTGAAACAGTTTTGATTGAAGAATGAAAAATATTGCATTTGTGGGAAAATGTATTTTTACACTAAACTTACCAAATCTGACACGTCCAATAGTGTTTTAAAGTTCTAATTTGTGGCCAAACTTTTAAATTGTCTCTGTGGTAGCTATACAGTACACCTGCAACAACTATTTTGTCCATCTGGGGGCAGCAGAAACAATCTCTAACCACTGACATACTTCCATCCATTATCTATGCACTGCTTAAGAGTGCATCCAGGACCAGGCGGGGGTGGCACATGCCATCTCACCGATTTCAATGAAACTTTGCCAGTTTAAAGGGGTCCACCCAAAACTACTTCAGTCTAAGTTTAAGGAAATTTGGTCAAACTGGGGGGATTTCAC